TTCATCTTTCATCTACTTGATTGCAACTTGAACTTTTTACTGGTTGTTGAAATCATAACTTTGGGCCTGATCATAGTGTAGTATAATTCTCCATCTAAATGAGATTTTTAATGAGCCTATGTTTTATAAGATAACTGAATTACTCAGTCTGTTCCACTGTGAAAGTTTGAACAAGTATATTGATATGTAGATTGATCATAAACCTGTATTTACAAATGTATCTTATTTTGTTAATATGGTGTAATTTCTTTAACCATTTATAAGTATGTTTACATGGTTTATCTCTAGGAATCTTGACTACAAAATTAATAATACATTTCTGTTCAGGACAATGTTTAAAATCTTAACATCAAAGTAATTCTAAAAAGTAAAAACTTAGTTTATATTACATTTTACTTGGTGTGTTTTTCAGCCTTCTGCAGTTCTCTTTCCATAATTATCTCTTCAGGAGAAACAAAATAAGACATTGAAACACATAAGTATATAGGGATGGGGGGAGTGGCATGATTTTTTTATTTTTTTAACAAAGGCTCGGTAATTCAAGTGGGGAATTAACATCAAAGTTAAAACAATTGTTCAGGAGAACTATAATTAGTTGTTAATAATAATTAATTGTTTTTTATTTTAAAGTATATTTGCTAATTGTTGTTATATTTGATAGGTTTTTGTCGCCCAACCCAAGACATTTTGTTCAGACTTGTAAATTAAAGAACCTTGTTTCCATTAAAATGTTCAAATAAGAAGTAGATGAGGATTAAAGTCTACTAGATGCAACATATACCTGAGCAAATCCATTATAGTTCATCAATATTTGAGTAGTGAATTTTTTGCCTTGTATTGATTTTTTTTTTAATCTACTCTTTGACATGGATTAAAATCCTTATTCCACAATTTTGAAAGTAAATTGTACAAGATTTTTAAAAATGATCTTCCAAAATTCATTTCCTCCATTTTATTTAAATATGATTGTTGTTAAATTCAATAACATCGCTCATAAGGTAAGTTTTTTTGCAGGCAATACTATACTTTTTATTTGTATTCTTTTAATTTATATACCTGTATGGAAAGAAAGAAGAGTTTGGCATAGATGTGTGTATGTATTTTCCCATATCTCAGAAGAGTGACTATAAAGTATTTTTTAATGTAGATGGTTCTGTGTATGCTTACATCTTTATTAAATTTATACTGATATATTTGTGGACAGTGTGTGTGTTTTATATATATATATATATATATATATATATATATATATATATATATATATATGCACATGAATTTAGTATGCATGTAATTTGGAGTGAATGAGTTAAAATAAGAAATTAGTAGAAATGTATTTTGATTTGATTATATCAGAATTCTTCTACAAAAATTTCAAAGGCTCTTCATTCATTGCCAATAGAATCTAAATTGAATTCTTTGTTTGCAAGGATAGATTCTCCCTTCACTCTGCTGAACTCAGCACCAGTTTCAGGAGCACTGACATAAATATTAATTTTGCCAGTTTTTATTTTTCTTATTAAATGATTTTTTTCTTATTTTAGCTTAGTGAGTCAAAAGCCTTTTGATGGTGCCCAAGGCAACCTGAAACGACTCTTAGAAAAGAATTTAAAACGCTTCACTGAACTGAGCCAGAAATCTCCACGTGATCTTCCTCCTGAACAACAGAGGCAAGTCAATAGGCATTTTTCCAGTCAACTTATACCTTCATATTTTTTCTTTTGTCTATAACAATCAAAAAAGGACTAGCTTTTTATATCTTTAGGGCAAATGGAATTCCTTATAATTTTTTTTTTATCTATTATTATTATTATAAATTACTGCTTTGGCTGAGCAGGTAATAATAAAAATAGTTAATTATTAATGTATTCCTTTTTTTGCTATCTTACATTGTGACATGATAGTGATGATTACACAAGATCAAATTTAGAAGTAAAAAATGTAAATATTTATGTGTTGATGATTAATGAGACGAAATATGATTTTTTTTTTTTTTTTTTTTCAACTGAATATTTTTTAAGGGAAGTTTTACAGTTTTAACTCAGACTTAGAAAGTTTTATCCAATTTTATTTACTATGTTTGTTTTTTTTTTATATAGTTTATATTAGAACACTTTAAAACTTAAAGTAAGATCCTGTCCATTTGATTATAACAGCTATATTGCACCTAAGAAGAAAAAGTAATTATAAATGCTCATTCATCCACACTCATTTCCATTGGCTATTGTGATATCTGAATAAGTGATGGGAGAGAGCACAGGGGGAAGTAGATTCATGCCTCTAACACAAAGGCAACATAACTTTACCCTGAATTTGAACTAGTTTCACAAATTCTGTTTTCCATGGCTTTATGCAAATTTCTTAATCAAATTTTCTTTAAATTTCAGGCCCCGTGACATCAAACGATTTTTTGTCCATTTTCTATATCTGCTTGACATCTTCTATAATAACAGTAGAAAGTAAGTCCTTCATTAAACCTGGCATGAATGTTTTGCTTTTTGTGAAGAATTTTATCTTGTAGGTAAATATAATGTGAAGCTGATTAATTTCTAATGATTTAAAATATCTTATATTTTCTCTCTCATGACTTTATATCTTATAAAATAATAGAAGCAACAGAACATTCAGTGCAATCACTTCATTGCAAAGAGTCTTTGTTTTTAAGACTGATTATGTCTTAGAATGTTAACATAGATTTCTATTTTGGTTTCTTTGTGACTTCACAATTATTTTTTCATCATCATTTTCATTCATGTTTTAAGTTTTACATTATTATTATTTATCACCCTAATAATTGTGGCTTGTAGTATATGCAACTCTAATAGCTATTATGGCACAGAGATTATATAATTTCAACTTCTTTTAAAGAGAAAATTTGTTAATCAAATATTAATTAAAATACTTTGATATATTTTGGTAAAGTTGCTTATTTTCTTTCACTCAATTTCTGATGAAATTCCTTGAATCCAGTTTTTTACTACAGTGTTTTTCTTTATGTAAGATAAATATTTAAAAGAAAAAGGTGTGTATACACACACACGTGTGTGTGTATATATATATATATATATATATATATATATATATATATATATATATAAAAGATCCGTTTTCACAAAGAAGGTGAACACTCTGTGCAGAAAACCCAAATAACTCACCTGAGTGGAGCCCATGATGAGGAGAACAGGAGGAGGCATACTAACAAAAGAAAACCCACACTGGTTGCTGCAATCTGATTGCGTGGGAAAGGGATGGCCATGTCATGTGCTACCTGTTAAGGTCAAGTGCCATGGATTCCTAGGGCAATCAATCGTTTCCTTCCTTTTGAAAGTGGGCATCACTGGCTGGTGCCTGAAGTGTGCTTCACATCGTCTCCATACCACAACTCAATAGGCATTGAGTTGGATATGGTCAAGATTCAAAATAAAGTTGATTAAAACCATGCTCACAACACAATGCTACTTCCAACATAAAACACATCTGTTTACCTTTTATTCTATGTCATTGATAACAGTCACTATGAGCATGTTGTATATTGGTTAATGACCAAAAGCAAACACTTTTAGCACAATGTTGAAAATCTGACTTGCAGTTGCAAAAAAATCAAAATATCACAGAAACTGACACGTCTACGCAAAAAAACAATACTCTGTTCAGTGGCAAAAGTTGCTGGTGGTGCTAGGGGTAGCAGTACTACCTTAGCCACTGAAACCGAGTTACTTCCCCTGGTTGGCGGCTGATGAGGGCAGGGTATCGCATGTGCTTTCACACATATGTAGAAAAAACAAATGGATCTGGAAATGCAAATCAACAAGAGTGAAATTTTGGAATCAAGGATACACAATCTGTTCTGAAATTGTCTTAAATTTCCAAACACTATTGATATTGCAGATGATTTTGGTAGCATGTTGGCTGAATTTGAACTTGTAAAGCATAACGAAAAAACATTTGCTATGAAAAAGTTGGTCAAAAACCTAAATGTACAGCTGAAAGAGGAGAAACAGAACTTTACAAATATGTAAATTTATAAAGGGAACAACACAAAAAGAAAAAAAAAAAACAACTGATCAGCCTAATGTAATGTATAAACAGTCATTTATTTTGTTCCAGTCTATTTTTCTGTTGGTATTTCCACTATTGAACCCAACACTGTGATATATTTAGCAGGTTGTATATATGCATACAAATAAAGAATTGGGAACAAAAAACTAGTTTTGACAGAGACTGTAGCTCTTTTCTATGACCTATGTCATCATGGTTACCAAAGTTACTGGCACGCCACTTTTTATTGAATATATAATTTTGAGTGCTATGCGTTTTTGTTGTCTAAATAATAGTGAAGATTTAGGATGTTCATTGCATGGCACAAGAGCCCCTTTTATATTGAAGGTAGTCAGACATTGCCCATCCTCTCCACTTAGAGGAGACAGTATCTTTTATTTACTTTATTTTATATTATTTAAATCCTGTCACCAGTTAAATTTTTTTTTTTTTTTTTTTTCAATGAAGATTTGGAGTATCCTCAGTGTTTCAGCTGGTTCATTCTTCAGGCTTCTTCAAATGGATATTATAGTGCAGAGTTGGTTTTGAGTTGCATTTTATCTGAAGGTTAGAGAATGAACTAGTTGAAAATGGTGAAAAAAAAAATCAATAAGATGAGTTTAGTTAAAAATATTTGATTTTAACAATTCGAAATCAAGTTAAACATTTTTAATACTATTTTAAACAAGACCTAAGAGCCACTCAATAGTTAGAACTAACCAAACCTTTCTTTTCTTTCAGTGTGGAAGCCCCTGAAATCCAAGAATGCTGCCAGAATACTCTGCAAGACTTCAACCTGTGTATGTTTTATGAACCTGTGTGCTACAATACAAGAGACTCTGTGACCGGCACCATGCACCATCACAATACATCTTTTTTTGATCATCTCCAATATTTAGATGATGATATTGTTTTCAAGATTGCTGTCATATGTATGGCCACTGTTCATCTGCTTGAAAGAAATGGTTTGTACACTTAAATTCAGTATTTTTTCTTTGTCAATTATCCATTAATTTGTTACTCTCTGTAAAATATATTCAGATGTAAATTTTTGTATTGTTTTCATATAAGCCATTGAAATATGAATATATATTGAGGAGCCAAACCATTATGGCCACCTGCCTAATAAGAGGTTGGTTCTCTATGCACCCACAGAAAATCTCTTATCCAATCAAACATGCTCTCTAAAAGACCTATTGAAATTTCCTCTGGAATCTGGTTTCAGGATATTAACAGCATATATTTTAATTGCTACACATTACATTGTACAAGTTCTGCAGGGTGGGATTTGGGGAATTTGGTTGATACAATACCATAATAATACTTTGATGTTCCTAAAATCCTCAATGTGCAAAGGCACATTGTTCTGCTGAAAGATGCTGTTGTCTTCATAGAATACTGTTACCATGAATGATAGGACCCAGTGTTTCAGAACAGAACATTACCCAAACTATCTCACTGCAACCAGATGCCATCATTTTCCCAGAATAAAAGATCCTGCTGTCCACCTTATTCAGAAGAAAGTGAGACTCATCAGATCAGGCAAATGTCTTCCATTCTAATGTTTGTCTGCCCATTAGATAGCATTGGTATTCTGACAGACCAATCTTATGCAACAAGGATTGATGTACTGAGTGTTGTAACACATTACTTCTGTCCTTCACCTTGATTAAAACTATCTGCAATTTGTAACTTTCTGTTAGCTTATTTTTGGTAGGAATGCCTCTGTTTACTTCTCATGTCAATAAATGTTATCAGCCTATTGCTTTGTTGGAAGTTAATGATTTTTCCTCTTCTTGAACGATTGTTAATAGTTACTTGTCACATGATGATTTTTCAGAAATACTTTATCCTAGTCATCTGGCCATAATAGTTTGGCCTTTATCAATATTGCTCAACCCTTTTCTTCTTGTCCATAATTACAACATTCAAAATGAAGTAATCGAGTCTGGTGTACCTGTTTATATACCAATAGATGTTAGCTGTCATTCTGGTCATATTTTGGTACATTAGTACATTAAAAAGAGTATACCATGAATATGTGAATTCCAAACAGGTGATGCAAGAATGTGGCCACTGGTTCTAGTTCTTGTGGGCAGACAGTTGAGTTTGCATGTGGAAACCCTATGAGGTTATGGAACCAGCCTGTCAGAAAGATATGCAAGTTGGTGTAGGATGTGTTTTATTGGAGTTTGCAAAGGTCACAAGGAGTCTTTGTTGACAGGTGTGGCATATAAAGATCTTGCTGCAGATCATTTGCATGCCTTTATACTTACCACGTTTCCTTTTTGATGATAATTTATTCCAGCAAGATAACACAAGCCTCATCATGTACAAGTGACATGAAACTGGTTCCAAAAACACTGTTAACTTTCACTGGGTTTTCTTTTGGAAATTTAAACACCATTGAGCATTTATGTGGCATTTTTAAGATTTCAGGAAATTCCTTGCAACCACACTCGATTTTTTTTTAAAAAAAAAGAAAGAAAAAAATGAACAGCATGGAACATACCCAGCCAACGACTTCAGCACCTTATAGACTTCATGTCCATATGTAGTAAGCATTATTTTGTTGAAAAAAGGTGTACTTTATTAGGTAGCTCTCTCTAATGTTTTAGTGCTTCATTTTATCAATTACTTTTCTATTGTTCATTTACATATTCTTTGACATAGTGAAATCATCAGAAAATCCCTTAGGCTTAATTTTAGTTTTCATTTAGATTATAAAGTATCAATTATCATTGATATTTGATTTGTTTACAATGTGATTAATTTTCTGTTTTCTTTTGCTTTTTTAATTAACTCTTTATCTTCAGAAATTTATTCTCAAAAATATTTTGAAATTTCTTTTCAAAACAAAATTCCATTTTGTTTGTGGCTTTTACATGTATTCTTCTTTTCTGTTGAGATTATTTTTAATTTTAATGACTTTTCAATAATGATTTGACTTAATTTCTTCTTACATTTTGCATTTTATGATTTTTATTTTACTACATATTTTAATTTTACTTTTCAAATTGAATATTTACATTTTTGTATATAACTAGTTCTATTTTAATGTGATTTAGATTTTAAGATTTTTAATTTTCAGGCCTATATTAACAGAATTCTTTTGTTCAGTATTTTTCATTTTTGTATTTATAGATTTTTACCCCCTAAATTTTTATTATAAACTTATCAATTACATTATATTTTTTTACATAAAAATGCACTAATTGTGATATGCTATATTTTTTCTAAAATTATTTTTTCCTTTCTCATTTCATTTGTAAATTATCTGTAGTATTTTTTAAACGCTTCCAATTGTTTAAGAAAATAATTTGTTTGAGCATATTTTTCTTCTATTGCATATTCAAATATTTCGTTTTCAAAATACTGACTAAAATGAGTTGGTGTTTTAAAGCCAGTTAAAGCTAGAAATTTTTTTTTAATCCAGCAGGAAAAATTCTCTTCTATTCTTTACCATAGAATTTTTACAGAAAAAGAAAAAAACGATTTAATTTAAAATTCCATCAGATAAAAAAGAAGATGCAACTTGATTTTTTTTATTCTTATAAAACCTATGTAAAAAAAAAATCTCTTGTTAAAGATTGACAGTATTCAATCATGTTATTTATCCTATTAAGGTATTTCTTTGCAAAATTGATTTTGGCTTGTGATATGTTAAATATATATATGTTGTGTGTGAGTGTGTGTGCACACTCTCTCTCAAATATATACTCAGGATTTTTCAATATTTGTCCATTTGTACATGTTTTCAGATAATTTCTTTTTTAACCATCCTACTATCAAGAGATCAGTTGATGTAATTTAATAGCATATGTAGAAAATAAGACTCAAATAAACATCTTAAATTTTATGAAGGTTTTGTTTTTTAAATTCTATTTTGGTGGTTATTTTGTTTTTATTATATATATATATATATATATATATAGCAAACTATATTTATATATATATATATATATATATATATATATATATATATATATATAGCAAACTATATTTATAGGTTAAAGTGTTGAATATCAGGGATAGAGCATATGTGAATATAAAAGTGGACATTGAAGTCAACACCCAGCAGTGGCAACAATCTGTATACACACTCTATTGTTGACCCAATAAAAGGCCCAAGAGCCACCAAAGGTAGTTGGTTACTGAATAATGTTGTAAGGGTTTAAAGGGAGGAAGTAAGAAGTGTATATTATGTAGGATAGATAATAGTTAATCCTAGTCTTGCAGAAGTTAAGATCTTAATGATTGGGGAAGTATACTTGCAAGAGTCTGTTTTGCACAGTAACAGTTCTGGGGCAGGAAGAGGTAGTCTGAGTGCAACTTTTTCCTTACCAATAGAATATGAAGGGAATGGGCTGCTTTACCTCTATGTGTGTGTGCATGAAAGGATAGCAACATTTCATTTATGGGAATGGGGTTGTAAGGCAAAAAATAATTAATCACTCACAAGGTTGCATAAATGCTATTGCACTCTGTCAAAGCAAAATAGAGTCTGGTTAGAGGAGTCTGGTACTTTCTGAAGCACTATAAGGAAGTTAGGATTTTTTCAGCAATGGTATGAATATATAAGTCTTACTTGAGTTGTGGAGTGAGCTTTAGTCCCAATACACATTTGAGGCAAGGAGTCTCAGTGAAAGTATAGTCATTCATCAAGACTGAAGTAAATTTAGGGTCTACTCAGTGGTGATGAAACATTACTAGCTTTGTTTTGGAGGTATTGAATGATAAGTCAGTCTTTCCTCTATTGATCTGGGAGAACTAGATCAGTAGAGTTATCAGCTGCCAAGCTCTGGTCATCTAAGCTTTTGGGCATGTTCTTGATCAAATCATTAACATGAAGCAGAAAGAGAGTATGACAAAGGAGAGAGAGCCTTGGGGGACATCAGCATTGATCTTATGTGTGTCAGATGACTAGCTATTAACAACTACTTTCATGAACCTACTTGTTAGGAAAGACTTGATAATTGTGAAAAATCTTCTAGATATGCCATAGCTGGAGAGTTTGTGTGGAAACCTCTTATATCACCTTATCAAAAGCTTTTGAGATATCTAAGGTGATTGATTTATTACCAAGTGCTTCATTGATTCAGTGTGTAATGATAGTTAAGATGTCAGCACTGAAAACCTAGAGGAGCAAAATGTATACTGTTTGTCTCTCAGGAGGTTGTTTTTGTTGAGGTGATCAACAACTTTCTTGTTGATGATCAACTCCAAAGAGTTTGCTGTGACATTAAGGAGGCCTGATGGTGTAATATTATATGGTGGAGATGAGCACTCACCCATATTTTGTAAACAGGACATACAGCTAACACATACCGTGGACTTGGGAACATTTTTCCTTCAGACAGTAAACAGCTGTACCAAGATTGGGGGTGGGGGAGTTCTGGGTTCAAATATATAATTTTAAAATTTGCCTCTTGAATATTTAAATAAATTAGATATGTAATCTTTTAGTGCCTATTTAATGCAAACAATGTTTTTTTTTTATCAACAAAATGGAATGTTATTAAAGAGGATTTGAGTTTTACCCAAGATCATGCAAAGATATGTCAAGAATTTGTTTTTTTTTTTTACTAAGCATTCTCATATTCCTTCATTAAATTCTGGTTTAAACAAATTCTAATGGTGCTATGATAGCAAACCTCAAAAAACATATGAACTTCTCTTACATGATTTATTTTTTTTATGCTTATAGTGACTCCATTTTCTTAATACCCATTCTTTTTTGTGACTTTCGGGACACAATTTTAATTTGGCCTGCCTGTTAATTTTAAGGCTAACTTGTCTTAGATGTTTAGAGTTTACCATATCTTTTCGTTTTTGCCTGTATATCAAAATGAGGAATCTGCTTTTGATGAAAAAAAGTAATATAGAGTTTGAAATATACATCTTTTAGTGTGTATTTACAGATATATGCATACACACCTGTTTCCTTCTATATTTTGCACACAAA